TAGGGACTTTTTCTTCAGTTGCATCAATAACTATATGATGTTTCGCCTGGTGTCTTCATTCGATATGTACCTTTCGCACGACTATCGCGATCCTATACGGCACTTCGAGTCCAATATGTATGGCAAAACAGCGGAGGTGAGTAAAACGCTTTCCATGTTTTGTAAGAGTTCAGAGCAGGACGTTTTGAAGGCCCCACGATGGGAAATTTGTGTGCGAGAAGTGATCGACTACTTGGGTATACCGTTGGCTACAGCATTCATCGACACTCACTTTTCGACAGAAGACAGAGAGAAGGTTGGTGGCGTATTTTTCTATATCGACTTTCTTTTCAACGAGATGCTTTCTAGGCTATAGAAATGATGGCAGATTTCAAAAAAGGCATGGAAAGTCTTTTGTTGGAAGCTGAGTGGATGGACGATGACACCAGAACAGCCGCATTGAAGAAACTCGAGAGCATGAGATATAAAATGGGGTTAGTAGAGTGTCAAGTTATCAAACTAGCACAGCCATTGCCACTATTTTAGTAAGGCGAAACATTCTATTGCAATGAATTGGAAACATCTTCTACACAAAGTAAAAAGGGTAGTTTACCAACCGTGATGCTTTTTTCCCCGGACACCTCCGGGGCTCGGAGGACAGCCCTCATGATACCTGGCGCCCATCCACGTGGATCCGGATCAGGGCACTCCTTGCCGCTTGGGAAATTTTACGGAAAATACGACCCTCCCCTACTCCAGCACGCCTCCCCCCCCCTTAACATATAAGCTAACTTCCGAAGCTTCCCAACTTTTCCCAACTTCCAACCACTACCTACAACAGTCCTCATCATTACGGACTGTCGGGGCGGCACAGCCGCGCTGCAATGTGACGCTGCGGCTCGGTGACGGCGAATCAGCTGATTTCCATGGAATTCGGCTGCGAATTCCCACTTTTTCAACTCTTCAAGCTTCGAAAGTGGAAGGTGAGTTATTTTGAGCAATTTTAAATTGTACTGACTCTGAATGAATCTGAAAGAATGCAAGCCATTTGAATAAATGCCTGAAATAAGGCAAAATACAAGGAAAAGAGCATATAATCGACATAAAAATAAAGGAAATCA